ATGCCAATCAGGATGCAGTGTGTGATACAAGCAGCAGGTAGCAGCACTTGCAGCAGTCACTCTCTCTCTCTCTCTCTCTCTCTCTCTCTCTAGCGATATATTTGGGTCGACGAGTTTTGAGAAGAGGCAAATATTAGTTAACCTCACAATATCGCATATTTTATTATTGCGATCGGACAAAATAGTGCAAACATGTCTACGGTAATTATTTATAGCCGCACAATTATAGATAAGATTAAATTTCGACTGTCTAGTACGTTTTTCGTACACACTTCTCAATTCTTAATTTTTACATTTTATCTTAACCTCGACAATTGATGTTCAGTACAATTTTACAAAATTTTATAGTTTATCTGGTCAAACATCGGAAATGTGATAGAGACAAGCATCAAGAATGTCTGAGATAGTACATAATTTCGTTGTTGTTGGTATTAATGTGTTAATCGTAACGTTAAAATGTGCCTATCACAGCGGCCCGATGATCACCGAAGGAAATGGAACCGGGAGGAATATGAGAGGATCGCGCTTCAAAGACTCCAAGATGAGATCGCCGAGGAAGAATTAGGGATTCCGAAGCAGCCAGCAGTTAAAAGAGAATTGCTCAAGCAAAGAGATTATAAAGTCGATCTCGAGTCTAAACTAGGAAAAAGTGTTGTCATCAACAAAAACACGCCGTCGTCGCAAACCGGAGGGTAAGATTTAACTGCCAATTATCTTTTAGAAAACGTAGAATGTACAGCTATTGTATAATAATATACATACATTGATATAATTAGTAAGTAATAAAATTGTTCTGCACATTCTATTTTTGTGCCTAAAATTTCAATTGATCAGACTAGCAACGTCATACTATCATATTTTTGTTCACAGCTACTACTGCAATGTTTGCGACTGTGTTGTCAAAGATTCGATCAATTTCTTGGACCATATTAATGGGACAAAACGTAAGTTTAAATATTCCAGAAGATTACTTGACCATGTCTGGCAAATTTTTTATGTTCAAACTCACAACGTTTGACGTGTTTTTTTGATTTGCCATATGAAATTATCGATACAATTATCACTTGAGAAGGACCGCAAACCGTGGCCGAAACGTGAGTATAAACATAAAAATTTGCCAGACATGGTCAAGTAATCTTCTCAAGTTTTAATCACTTCTGGCTACTTGTAAGGTTTCCTCCAGTCAGAAATTACGATAGGATTAGAATGCTTTTACTACTACAATTAATATTTTCTCGGTCCTTTTCTGATATAAATCAAATTGAAACTTAAACGCCATATTTTTAGGACCTGGCAAGGTGGTGGCCATTATTGCTATGTGAATCATATACCGTATTATCCCACCCTGTACTTTTATTTTAATTATTACTTTTAATTTTGTTTTCTTATCAGATCAACGTAATCTGGGAATGTCCATGAAGATAGAGCGATCTACATTGGACCAGGTTAAGGCGAGATTTGCGCAGAACAAAAAGAAGCTCGAGGAAAAAAAGAAAGATTATGATCTGGAGCAAAGGGTGAAGGAGCTCAAGGAAGAGGTTCGTTTCTTCAAGATTGTGCTTTGCGAGTTTTTCGTTCAATTTATTAACAAAATTATCTCTATTGTTCGTAGGAGGAAAAGATCAAAGAGTACAGGAAGGAGAAGCGAAAGGACAAAAAGAGAAAGATTGAGGAACTTTCCGAGGATGACGCAGGGCCTTCCGACGAAATGGCCGCGATCATGGGATTCTCTGGCTTCGGCTCGAAGAAAAAGTGACAAACTGCTTCTGACGAGCGTTCGTGAACAATTTTCGCTACTCCGAAAAAGAAAATAATGTTTCTTTGAAAAAGATCGTGCCCGGTACGACTTGGAAGACGAACAGAAATTCCAATTTTTATTGGAATTTAAGGGGGCGATTTGTGAATATAACGTTTATGATGTATTTCTTATTTTTCCATCATTGTTACAACAGTTTCAAGATGAGAAAAAAAAGCTATGAATTACAAATCCGACCAATGTGAACGTAACAAATGACACGAGCTTAACCGGTAATTTATTTAAGATTAATTAAAAATTAATTAAGATTATTTGGATACGAATGTATAATGTAAATAAGTTAAGTATATCTTTGAAACAATTTCCATATCTGTCGAGCTTCTTCGTGAAAGTGCGGGACTTTGCAATTGGTTAATGCCGAAAGAAAATTCATATATCGTGCATGTAGGAATAAAATTTACGAAAATTAGCGTATATAGAACTTAACACCGATATTTCCCTCATTATTCCGTTTAAATGTCATTGCGTTAACACTACCGGGAGCTTACGGTGAATATTTTTTTGTTTGTTTCAATTCCGACGATAATCACGCCATATCAAATGGGACACGGTCGAATGTTTCTATCGATATTCTTGTCACAATCAAGCAATTTATAATGTTTAAACCAACGTAGCTTTCCTGAATGTGTAATGAATGTGCTACACTCGCAGAGCATGAAATCAAGACTGAGAAAAATTTAATTAAGAAACTTGATGCGTCCGTTAAACAATCCAACACAATTGTACAATAAAACAAGAATAATCGGTCAATGTATTTGTACATGATTGAATTATTTCCTTCACGAATCTAGAAATACTTCTGTTGCGCGGTATACAATCTCTACTTCTCGATACTACGAAATCAAGACTAGCTCCATACTGTAAAACCATTGTAATATAAGCTATAATACGCGCGATGCTGTGGTCAATCCCGTGGGAAGCACAGATGCAATCCATGCAGGTCCAAGTCCTGTAGGACGCGAGTAGTGATTCTCCTTCCGCAGACTCTTTCTCCATTCTCGAGAGATGCTCTCGCGAGCGAGGTAGGGGGAAGGAGATCTCCGTGGCTCTCCCACCTCGCGGAGGATTAGGATCTCCTACAGCGGGGCCCACGCCGGGGGCCAGATTCCGGGACCGGAGCGGCGGCGCAGTGCCGGTCGACGTGCCAGCCGACGTAGCTCTCTCTCGCAGCAGCGGCAGCCAGCGTACCGTCAGCCCGTTATTCGAAAGTCCGTGGAAGCCGCGCGTGTCGGAGTCGCGCGTCGTGCCTCAGTCGCTCGCACGTGACTTGCGTGAAGTGACGTGATGTGACGCGCGCGGGCTGTCGCACGTGCCACCGGAGGTGTCGTACATTCCGCCCTTTACGCGCCCAACAGCGTGTTCCCCGGAATTGGAACCGACGAAAGAGAGAGAGAGAGAGAGAGAGGGAGGGAGAGACGGAACAATTAGTGAAAATTTTTTCCTTGAAAGGTAAAATAAATGTGCCGGTTTTCGGAAAAGAAGATACACTTGGAAGAAGCGGAAGAACGAGGAAGAATACCGTAGTGTTCGGCGGGGATATTTTTGGAGAGAAGAAGAAATGATTGTCAAATGATACATAACGAATAAGTGAGAAAATTCTACACGTGAATGTTGAAGATAAACACGTTCTGACAAAAGTCGAATTAATCCACTGTCGAGGGATAATTTCTGTCTGTGAAACAGACTGATCGTTTCATTGAGGAAGCATTCGCGTTGAGAATTGGGCTCTTTTCTTCAGAGAGAAATCTCCCGAAAAGGGCTCTATCCGCCAATAAATACGAACTGATTGATTTGAAACAAATCTCAGCGTCTGAAATAATTATTCCCTCGTGAAAAGTTTGGAATAGCCGTTCGCAAAAGAACTCGAAACAGCTACGGTGCCATATAAAGGAGAAGAAAGCGAAACTTTCGGATAAAGAAACTTTAATATTAATTACTCTTTTTTTTACGAGCCTCAAGAAACTTCCCGGAGCAGCTTCTAGGTCTTTTCAACAATTATTTGCCCCGTAATAAACAAATTTACATTTTTACTGATTATACGGGGAGGGCATTCTCAACATCTCCCCGCGAAAAGTTAACGTTGAAAAATTGTATTAATTATCTCTAATCATTACTTTACTGCCGTCGCGAACAAGTTCGAGTGGCCCGGCGAAAGAAACGCTTCGCCGACGCGCTCTCCCGTGCCTGGATTTTACTACCCTCATCAACCACGAGGGACCTCTCGCTTGTCGCCTCCTAATTGTAATCAATTATATTAATCAGTGCCGGCTAATGTACGCTCGCGAAAAATGCGACAGGCAGCCACGGCGAATCTATCGGACTTGACACGGGATTCCACGGATTGATGGACATCGACGGCGGTTTTACGAGCGTCTCGATCACGATTCGTGGGCACCGTAGCGCGGCATTCGTTTCAAGTTGAAGAGCGGGACGTGAAGGAGAACGACGATGTCGCGAACTCTGCAGCCGATCGAGGAATCCAACCCCGGCAAGTCAACGGGTAAGGCCTCGTTCACTTTTCATGACGACTTGTTTAATTTTAACAGCTTCAGCGTTTTCTTCACCATATCTGGCATTTTTAACAATACATGCCTCGGTGGTCGAATTGGCGAGACACCCGCCTAGAGAGTAGGGAAGTCCAGGTTCAAAAACCCTGGCTGGGGTAGTATTTTTCGCGATAAATTTTGTATTATTAAAAATGCCAGATATGGTCAAGAAAACACCGAAGTTGCTCACTACTGCTGGCGACATTGAAGAATATTCTTGTTAGTTGTTTAATTAACCTTCCAGAAATCACCTCAACAACAATTTTCAGAATTATATCTTAAGAAGTTCATCAGTCTGTTAATAAAGCAGAGATTAAATAAAATAGAGATTATTAAATCTTCTACATATAAACTATTTTATGAAATCAAATAAGTTTCTTTCTAAAAGGAAAAATAATAAAGTTAGTCGTTAAAATCAGATTTACTTATAAAACCCGCTCACTCGTAAAGAAGAAGTTACAATAAACATAAAATGTCCCGAATTTCTTTAAAAAAAAACAAGTCGGGAAATTTTTTCCTTTCTCCCTTGCGAAATATGCCTTCAGCATTTGCGATATCTAAGGTTCTTTTCACTTTTCAAACATATAAAATCTGCGGAATCCTCTGATAAAGCGCGTAATAAAAGTTTTCTTATTCTAAAACAACGGCCGCTTTCCCTTTTCTTTTCCACGGAAGTGAAAAGGATCGGACACGCACCGTGTTGTTATCTGTTATACGGAGTCTGCCCACGGCTCTTATTTCCAACTCTTGTTTTCGAAACAGCCCGCGATCACTCGTGCGTGATTGAACGGATCGTCTAAGTGGATCCGACGAAACAGGCTGCAAACGTTCGGCAGAGATTTCCGCTTCACGACACCCGCGTTTGGTCAACGAGGCTGTGAAAAGCCGCGAACGGCAGGAGAGGAAATTGAAATTTGCATATCAAGCGAAACTTCAATCGGGCCACGAAGCCGTCTCATTGACTGTGATACTCCATCGATATTACATCGCTTAAATCGCCCATTACGGAATCTAATGATAAAATGAAATTATTGTATAAACTCTAATAATAAAGAAATACCAAATCTCGCAAGACAAAGACCCAGTAAACACCGAGCATCAATTACATTGCATTTATGTTACAATTTCTCACTCAACACTGTAAATGTAATATAATACATGTGTTGTATTACATTTATATTGTTGAGTGAGAAATTGTAACATAGGTGCATCGTAACTGATGCTCGGTGTTCACTGGGGAATAACTTTTAGTCTAATACCATAAAGGACGTAAAATTAAATTGCGAGCAGATACGCTTATATAATAAAAGAAATGGTAATCTCTCATGATCTCTCACACGGGGAGAGAATTTTCCCTTAAACTTTACCCTGAAAATCGTGTAACCATGGGACATCATGGCATTTTGAACAACTTTATGAGAGTTTTTGAAAGTTTACCATACATTTTACCAGTGAAATGTATGGCAAAATTTCAAAAACTCATTAAATTCTTCGAAATGCCTCGTTGCCCCACGACTATTCCGGATAGATTTTAAAAGAAAACTCTCCGTGTACTGTTATCTGACGCATGTCATATCATTATTCTGATTATTTAGTTCGCCAGATAATAATCAAACTATTGTAAGCAAATCGCAAATTTGATATCAATCATACGTTGTGACATTTGCGACTTTTCGTTCGAGTCTACGCATGAGATATCAGAGGGGACAGCAGCGCATCGCAATTACTTCTATCGCTCTCGTATAAATAATCGCTTCAAGTCTCGATCGCGTCGCAGCGTAGCGCGGCAATTAAATCGCGCATTATTCCGAAAAGCTGTTGTTCGTTATGGCGCTATTAATCATTAAATCTCCCCTCGGCAGACTGTAACACCCGCTGGCAGTTATTAGTTACGAATTGCGATCTACTTTCACAATTAATGCCGGCTGAACGTATGTGCTCGCACTCGGCCAAGTATTGCTGCTGTAACAGGTGGAACGTGAAAACTAACGGCTGTCGGGAAGATCGGAAAAATCGACGATCCATTTGCGTCAATTATTCGCTGTTGTACGTCAATGTGTTCTAATTCCTTAACGGCAGACTTTCCCCCCCCCTACCCCCTGCCACTACGTTACGTGGGTACAGCGAATTACATTGTTAATAAATCATCTCTTGTCCTAAGAATCGAATGGAGAAGTTTATTCGTCGGGGCAATTCAGAAAAATGAAATACAGGGAAATTAGCGGGCGAGCGTGTAAAGCTAAAGTTGATTGAAATGTTAAAAACACAAAAGGTTTAGAAGCGTTTCATATGACATTAATGAAAGAGATCGCCAGAGGATTACATTAACTTCGCAACGTGCACCTTAAAAATGTTATATACTTAACTGAGACATCTCACGCGCCTAATGCACATCTCGCGTCGCGTAATTACACTGGAACGGCGCGCGCAATTATAATACATGCTTGTACTGCCAGAATATGAGGCGGTCAAATGATATGCTATCTGTTGCAAATGAGCCTCTCGTGGGAGATAATTATATAGGAGGGTTGTGCGATCCACTGAGTTTCGCAAAAGTTTCTTCAGCAAAATTAAACGATAACACAGGCCTACAAAAATGACACTTTTGAATCCCCATCGAGATTTAAGGGTGTTTCTCTATGTAATTTTTAGCGCTGAATCCAAATCTGGCCGCAGAATTTGTCTAGCACGTCAGGATTTTGAGAGAATTGTAACGATTTTTTAATTTTTGGGCCGCCATATTTGATCAGCCATGTTGAAAATACAAATTCTAACTTTAAAATCTTAATCAGTGACTCGAAAAACCCTTTGATACAAAGTTCTAAAGAAATCGGTCTGAGAAACGTTCGGTGCTTAGGTACCAAAGAAAATGGAATTTGTTAATATTAAGTGTCCTACAGTTGTAATTATATTACACCATTTCGAAAACCGCGTATATGCATTTCCGTAGATTTTGTCATGAGAAATCCGAATCTGTTGACTAAATTAACGAGTATCATCGCGTTTCAAACTTATTTCCATCTGAAAATGTCAAAAAATGGCCTTTTTTGCACTTTTAAATTAGAATATCTCAAAATCCTGACGTGCTAGACAAATTCTGCGGCCAGATTTGGATTCAGCGCAAAAAATTACATAGAGAAACACCCTTAGATCTCGGTGGGGAAAATCTTGTAGGCCTGTGTAATTCATTTAAAAAAACGCTGTAAAAACATCTACAAAGCGACTTTTCAAACATTTTTAGACTTTTACATTATACTTAAAAATATGGTAAATTGAAGAAAAGAGGGAAATTGACTTTTCAAAATCAATTCAACTTCAACTCAATAGAAATCTCTTTAAGTTGCCAGTAATAAATAATCAAGCTTTTTAGCTTCGATCACTGATGAATTCGACCACTGAGGCATCTTGGTGAGACGCCCGCCTAGAGAGAAAGGGAGGTCCAGGTTTAAACCCTGGCTGAGATAATATTTTTCGTAATAAATTTTCTGTATTAAAACATTGGCCGGTTAATGTCGACTAAAAAGCTTGATTGATGCAATTCAACTTCATATTACACGATAAGATCAGGCTTTCAGTGAAAATTAAATTTTATTCGACACATAAACTCAATCCTTAATCATTGAAAAGGACTTAATTTGCGAGAATTTGAAGACCGTTTAAAGCCAATTAAGGACTGGCAGGTAATTCTACAAGTATTTCTGATGCCGTCATTGTCCTAGAAAAAAATTGAAATCCACGCATCCCGTTACGACGGCAGAATATCGCTGCTATCGCGTAAAGCGTCCTGTAACTCCGCGAGGGTCCAATTACTCATGGGTTCATACACGATGTCCACTCTCGAGCTTCTCACGGCGTTCCTATCAACGGACACCGCTTCCCTCCTCGCGGCCTGTACGAGAATGAAAAATACGTCCGGCTGGCCGTTTTCCGTCATGTAACGGATCCGGACCTTGTTGGCTCCGTAGCCGCCCTCCACCACGCTCACGCGGCCTTGCTGGTGAACGGACGCGGCGATCACGCAGCTGACGAGCTTGCCCGGCTGAGCCCTGTAGTACACCTCCGCTCTGGTGCTCACCGGGAAGTACGACTTCTGGCTCTCCAGCTGGATTAGTCGGGATGTCGCCTCGTCCTCGGTGAGCACGTTACCCTGCATCAGCCACGTAGCTCTACGAAGAGAAGTTCTCGCGTCTGCTCTCGAAAAGTCAATCAGTGGATTATCACTGAAGACAGTGAATATCCACTGACCCGCACACGGAAAGAAAAATGTAGCTACCGTAGCTGAAGACTGTATGTGGCAGCCAAGTCTCAGTTGTAAAGTAGGGACAGCTAGTGTCTAGTTGCGATAGCTAAATATTTTGCTACCGTGCCTACATTGTATCAGGTGCGACAGCAAACCGTTTAATGTGATTTATAAATGTATAGTTGTGGCAGCGAAATATCTTTAGCTACGGTAGTGAACTTTTTTTTTCAGTGCAGTCATAATGAACTGATTGACTTGTAGAGAGTGCGAAGGTCTGGAAAGCGCGGGAGCCGACGAAACGATTGCGGTCGAGTTTCATAAAAGCCGTTACGAGGCAAGAGACTTCCTCTCTTCGGAATGAGAAGATACTTTGTTCAGAGAAGAGGACCTCGCGTCGTCTAAGTTACTCCACTGTTAAATCGCGAACTGCAGGATGGGTCGAGAGATCTCGAGAGAGAAAAGAACCGAAAGCACTCAGATGAACGAGACATAGCCTTCTCTCTGACAAGTCGTTAGATATTTTTACAAATATTGAAAATATTACTTTTCTTCTCTTCGGGAAAATCTTAGCTCTAAACTGCCACGATAGATTCATCTTGCGAAAAAATGTATGTACGTCACAAAGGGTAATAATTCCAATAAGATTAATATTTTTTTCGGACACTCGAGTCGACGGCCACGAAATCACTTTAGCTCTGAGGAAAAGAATACTCTTCCTTAATATACTCACGGCTCGCTTAGTGCAGAGTTTAAAATGTAACAGAAGACTAGAAGGCAAATGCGCGTCATCGTGAATAATTGCTGATGCGCGAGAGGAAATTCTGGAGTTAGCTGTCGGCCGATATTAGCTTGCCGATGCGAATCGCCTGTTCAATGTTGTGACACTATCCCGTGTTCTTGGCCCGATATCATTATCGCGCGCGCGACTATCGTCTTTGCGAGCTAGACGGTAGTGGAGCGTGGACTAAAATTAACGAGGAGAGCACGGTAACAGACTCTGACGTGGGCTGCTGTTATGACGATCCCTTCTCCTCCTTCTACCGTGCGTCGTTTACGAGTGTTCGTAAAAGTTGCTTTTTTTCGTCTTCATTGATCATTAAAAATATCGCAGGTTCGTCAGCGAATATTATCGTGCGAACTTTGATCTGGAAATAATCTTACGTCTAACAAGTAAAAATCGTACGTTCGCAGTTCATTCTGTCGCTACTCGAACTCGATTTTACTCTGAAGATCTTGATTTCATATACGACGCTGCATCGGAGCTGTAAATCTTCGAGGAGAAATTCACTTTGCTTACGTTTCTTTCTTCGTCTTTTGTTTTCGCAACGTCTGTAGCAAGAGACATTTGCGGGGATAAAAATTTCTTTCGAATCATTAGGTTTCTTTGAATGTAACGAAAGTATTTTAAAATTGCGTGATTTGGACCTCAAGTCCTTAACTGACGAAGAAGCAAATAAATCGACTGTGTTATTCTCTGGATTGGGAAAGTTATTTTATAAAAGTAACTAGTTACAGTTACAGTTTACTAAAAATGTAACTAGTTATAGTTATAGTTACAAGTTATCAATTCTAAAAAGTAACCCGTTACAGTTACAGTTACTCAAAAAGTAACGAATCGTTACTTTGCAGTTGCTTTCTTACAATGAAAATAAAAATATGAAATCTGCATTTCATTTATTAAGTGTCGATAAAAGCGTTTATGTGCAAACGCAAGACCTAATGCGATCTGTGAAGGTTTAAAAAATATATAAAGTAACTATTAAATTAGTTACTAGTTATCGACAAAATGTAACTGAGTTAAGTTATCAGGTACAGATGGAGAGAAAGTAACGAAGTTAAGTTAGAGTTACTAAAAAAAAAGTAACTGTAACTGTAACTTCGTTACAAGTAACGAGTTACTTCACAACCCTGGTTATTCTTCCAATCATGGTATAAAGATACAAGGTGAAACATTGCGCGAGTAACCAATTTTTGGGGCAAATTGTTTATTGGTTCTTCCTGCATTCAACCGCAACGATTTGCAGTTTGAAGGTGGGGCAAATTTCTGATTAGTCAATTAGGTAGTTTGGGCCACTTCTGATTGGTTGCCACTGTGCATCCACCAGATTGCTTCACCTTGTATCTTTACACCATGCTTCCAATCGTTCGTGAATTTACAGCAGAAGACCAAAGCATGTATAAATTTTTCATGATTAAAACCTAGCCATCCGAGGCATCCGAAGGAAGGTCAATTCGGCTAAATAAAATTGTTCACGAAAGCATAACACAACCCCATATATCTCCGCTATTAAGTTAATCATAGCGCTCGGCTCGCCATTGTAACGCGACGCGGCACTTGCAATTTTCCACGTGCGCGCGTTTAACGTTTTAATGTATATACTTGGACTTTGTTACGATCGAATCGTGCATTAACCCTCGTGGCGGATCTCGAACGATCGTACGGAAGTGCGGCCGTTTCGCGAAAGGCGAAGATCATCAGCTGCAAAATGCGATAAACACCGCCAAGTAGGATCGCGCCCGTCTATTTGCCTCCGCGTGGAAAAATGTCAACGTGCTGTATCGCCGATGCATTAATGCATCGAGGAAGACGCTAGGAGACAGCCAGGTCAGAAAGTCTCTAACGGTCGGCCATTACGTGTAATCTTATGATAACGACGGCTGATCGATCATCTCGTGCACCAATTACTGCCTGCGCGCGAGCAAGACGACGTCCCGGGGCAAGCGATTAGGAAAAGGTACCCGACAGCTGGCGATGATGCCGATTTTAAATCTCCGCGGCGTTTTGCACATCACACACCGGTAAATTAGATTCTTCCTGATTCTCTAGATGCTAGAACTTGGACCAAGAACACAGGCCTTAACTTCAAAGACTCTGTGTCTTGAAACGCTAGATTTGGATGTTATTCTTTTCTCTTTGAGTAAATTGAAAAGGCCCCTCGATATAATAAATCTACAATAATAAGAAAGACTTCTTTGCGCCAGAGAAAGATTTAAACATGCCTCAGTGGTCGAATTGGTGAGACGCCCGCCTAGAGAGTAAGGAAAGTCCAGGTTCAAACCCTGGCTGAGGTAATATTTTTCGCAATAAATTTTCTGCAATGGCCAGTTAATTAATAAATTAATTAATAAATGTGGCCAGCAGAGGTCGAATAAAATTTGGAATTTTATACTAGCAATTTGAAGAAACTAATCTTTGAAAGATTTAAAGTCGATTATAACATTCGCGTGTATTTTTCTATATGCATTTACGCTTCTGTAAATATATTGTAATCATGTTCCTTCACCCTTTTTATAAGAGTCTTTCAGTTTCTTTCATTTTCTTCGTGTACGGTAAAGATCACGTGTGTGAATTATTCGATGATTAATTAATTATCTTATCTGATCTTGAAATGTTAGCAAACAGCAAGAGATAATCAGGAAGCACGCATTCTGAATATAAAAGAAATATATTTCTGTATCTCATAAAATACGTCGGAAATGAATTACGCCATTGTGGATATGATAATCAATCCTCGATCGTACGGTACGATAAAGTAAGGAAGTTTCGTAAAAGATTTGCAACATGCGGGTTTGATCCTTTGAATGGCGATCCATCTTGAAAAACTTTTGAGAAGCAAAATTATTGGAAGAGACTACATTTTTTTTCTCGCGCCTACTACGACATTGGCAAAGATTCGTTATATCTGAGGTGACGTACAAGATATAGCGGCGGGTCAGAGATTTGGATCGGTATTTCTCGTACGCGGAACCGTCACGTCGGGCGAGAATGTAGAAAGTTGACGACGTCGCGAAGAATGTGAAATTTTCTATTTCGTGAACCCGGTCACGAACGAGAACCACATCCATCCCATCGACCTCCGCGGCCGTCAGCCACCACCGCGTCGATACTGCGGTATTGTTCTTCGTTAAAACCAAAGTGGCCGAGTGCCATTTGCCTTTTGCGTGCGAGCCGGTGCACTCGGTGTTCTCAGATGGCACAGCGAGGATTCGTAACGTTACCGAGATAAGAGGGAATAACGCGACGAGCTAAAGAAAGTGGTCCTCGCGACTGAAGAATTGTCCACGAACCATTGGGGTGTACAACGTTCGCAAGTTGAGACAATTCCGTCGAGACACGATCAATTAGTTAATTTTGTATTCTCGAGACAAATCCAAGGTGAGCAGTGATCTTCGGGATTGAATGCCAAGAAAGATTCACGGCGCTTTTGTACTTCAGTTCCACGGGCGCAACGGAGAAAATTATAATTGATCATTTTGAAAAGCCAAGAAGGTGATTCTTATACAAATTAATTTATCTTTAACTTTACATTTTATTGCATTCTTGTATCGTAAATTTGGAATGTTATATACGCTAGCACAAGACAGGACAAATTGATAAGCGAGCAACGATCGTCGAGTTTAATTTCTCGAAAAAGGCCGAAATTCCTCCAAAGTGCGCTGGCTCCAGCGTTCGTTGAGCGACGAGAAGTCAGCGCACGAAACGTTTTTCTTTACGCGACGCAAATCGTCGATTATCAATCTCACGTCACTTTTAATACGGTACTCCGATCTCGAATCGTCGGTCACGATCGATGAGTGCGTGACATCCGGTGCGGACCCGTTCGACACGAAGAATTCGTCAGGATGGTGGCCGAGTTAGCCGACATTTCCACGGCGACGGTCGACGGAAAGTCATCGGCGGTCGGCACCACGAAACACTGCAGGCTACCCAAATGGATCCAAACGGCGACGCGCGATCCGATCTATAGCGTTCTGGACAGCAACGAGTGCATCGCGGCGAGGAGTTTTCCTCCGGGTGCCGGCAAGATCGTGGTGATCAGCGCGGTGAAGAGCGCACCGAGCCGGAAGCTGGAAAACGAGCAGCGAGAATCACCGCGCGTCTGGTCGCCATCCCAAAATAAAGCGTCGCCGATCCTTGAGCCCGAGGACGAGAGCACTCTCTACAGCGTGGTGAGAAAACCGAAGAAAGTGCGGTTGTTGGAAACATCCTCCGAGACGAACGAGGAGACGACGATTCGACCTGTCGACAAGATTCGGGACATTGATCCCGAGCAGCAACAGTTAGACTCAGAAGACGCGTCCAAGCGAGTTGAGGTAAGCAAGTGGCTCTACGACACGCCTAGACAATCCCTCCCGGATCCGCCGGAGATGTATTTCGATCGTTCCGGGTACGAGAACACCTGGCCTGAGCAGGAGAGCTCGGTGGCACTGCCCCGAGGAGTGGTGGGCCTGGTGGGGCCCTACAGAGTGTACGGAAATCCCAATGAGAGGAGAGAATACATGCTGCAAGAGGAAGAACTTGTCGAAGAGGTAATGGACTCCACGAGTGATAAAGTACAGGAAGAAGAGAACAAGGAAGAGCACCGTCAGCGAGCGAAATGGAAGATCAGGGAGGACGGCGAGGAGACCTTGATGCCGGATATCCGAAACCTGTCAGGTTTCGCGGGAACGAATATCGGCAAGAGGGAGGAGAGTGACGACTGGAAGAGCGGACGGGGATCAGTGACGAAGGTGGATAAGTCGGATTGTATCGAGGGGATTCTACCCGGCAAAGAGGAGCGCGCGGTAGATGTACCGGACACGGTCTCCGCGATCTCGACGACGTCGATGAAGGGGAAATGGGGTGAGAGAGTTTCCTACAACAATCTCGATACTTTCAAACTTAACAATTTTACGGGTATTACGTTGTTTACGAATTTTATGGATATTACGTTGTCGAGCAATTGAAGTAGAGGTTTCTGGATACCTGGATGGTTCTGGATCAAATATAATTTTAATTGAAACAATTTAATTTCAAATGTGGCTCCGCCACATCTAGATGAAGCTGTGAATTATAGTCATCTAAATAGTTAAAAAAATTTTGATACTGACGTTTTCTTTATGTATTATCTTCCTTTCCTTTTCTGTGTCTCGCAATCTTTCGATAATGTAAGGGCTATACAAATGCATTTCTATATTTCCTCAATTCGTCTTATTGAACGAAAGAGTTGTGTGAAATTTTATTTACTTTCTTAAGATGACGAATTTCTTTTTAACTCCTACTAAATGTTGCAATCTACAATAAGATTCCAGGACAAAGTCAATCAGACAAACTTTATCTTGCAGTTGACTTGACGGTTGATTAATTAAAGATCATAAATATAAATCGTATTTATGAACGTCGATTTAAAACCAAAAGTAACATTTTACATTTTGCATTCTACAAGATTGTAAAGACTGCGTTTGTGACTAATAATTTTGGAGCTACAATTATCGTTTCCCATAAGCGCCAATTAAACTCGAATTAAACTTAATCATAAATGCCCGCGAATTGTCCGCGCTTTTCGCCAACGATCTGGGCTCGTCCGCTTGTGAATTACAATCAGGCGCGTGTAACAGGCCGCGCGATTACAAAGTGGCACCGGCTAGACGACAACGGCGTGTAATTCGGCAAAGTATGTCGTCCACATTCGGTATGCGAGGTGACACACGTCTTACGGTATTGTCCGGTAAAACGGACTCGAGTAGCGGTTGATGTACACCGGGTTTGCATACGCGTCGACGTCTCGATACGTGCGGAGTATGGTTCATGAGCCGATGATAAGGTCAACATTCGACTAAGAACTGCATTTCTATGCACCTGCCAGTCTATCACGATCCCGCCTGCCTTGCTCGAGCAACGGTGAATTGTCTTGCTCGAGTCTAAAATTAGATTCTACGAGATGACTCGAACCTTCAGCGGCCCAGAAGAGGGTAGACGGGATGAGACATTACAGCTCGGCAATATGCTGAAAGTGTTGCTGATAGTTTCGACGATCTCTCCTTTTAACAAAAATGACAAATTTTAATAGTGAAAAATTAGGCTCTCTGGCTCACACACACTTTAACCGAGTCGAATATTTTGGCCTCAGTTTAGCCCCGTATAATTTTTGAATTGGAAGCAACGAGGTCGAACTACGTCTTTGTGTCAGATAAAATATATTTAAATTTTTAGTTCTGATAAACCTGAAAAGAGTCGCTTTTCCCTTTTAGCGATAAAGAGGCTAATGCGAGTGTAATCAACAGAGGTTCGGTAGATCGTTTTCGACTTAAGAGCTTTCAAAGAGA